GCCGCGACTCAATGGGAATGTGCGATTGTGGCATGAGACGAATGAGTGCGAATTTGTTTGTATTTCAATGTAGCTGGTCCTCCCTCCTCCTCCCTCCTCCTCCCTCCTCCTCCTCCCTCCTCCCTCCTCCCTCCTCCCTCCTCCCTCCTCCCTCCTCCCCGCTCTCCTCCTCCTCCTACATGTCTCCTGGTCTTGTCTTGCTAGTCCGACAGTTCTTCTTCACCATCCACTACCTCGTCCTCTTCCCCTTCCCCTTCCCTCTTCCTCTCCTCCAGCCTCTGACCTCTGAGTGATGTGCAGCGTCGGGCTGGCCAAGGACTGGGGGGTCACGCAGAAGGAGGCGCAGGAGACGATCAAGGCCTGGTACAACGCGAGGAAGGAAGTGCAGGACTGGCAGGAGGGAGTGAAGAAAAAGGCGAGGAGGGTGGGATACACAGAGACGCTGCTGGGGAGGAGGAGAAACTTGGCAGACATGCGGAGCAACAACACTGTTCTTCGAGGGCACGCAGAGGTAGGCGGAGGAAGATGATTTGCTGTTGCTGTTGCTATGGTTTCTGGAGTAAGAGGAGGAGGGGGGGGGAGGAGGGGGGAGGGGGAGGGGGGAGGAGGGGGGAGACCTAAGAGATGGGGACGTTACTTTGTCACAGAGAGCTGCCATCAACACGCCGATCCAAGGAGGAGCGGCAGATGTCGTTGTCATGGCGATGCTGAACATCTGGAGGAACGAGGAGGTGAGGAGGAAGAGAAGGAGATTTCGCTAGAGACAGGAGGGAGGAAGAGTCTGATGGAGGGGTAAGGGAGTACTTGTTGAGAGCAGGGGAGGCAGCTGAAGAGGAAGCAGGGGAGTCAGCTGCCTCCCCTGCTGCTCCTTCACCTCCATGCTGATCATCTTCGCGTCGACAGATCAGAGCAAGAGGATGGAAGATGGTGCTCCAGATCCACGACGAGGTCATCCTTGAAGGTTCTTCTCCCCCTTGACCCTCTTCCTCGCTGTGCCCCTACTTCTGCTCCTCCATCTCTTCTCTTCGCATCTCCTCACTCGCCTCACTTACAGGACCAGAAGATCATGCTGAAGAAGTTTTTCGGATCGTCAAGAAATGCATGGAAAATCCCTTCCCTCGCCCCCTCCTCGTCGACCTTCCGGTGATCCTGGAGAGAAAATGGGGAGGGCGGAGGAAGAAAGCGAGTGGACGTGGAACTCACGGCTGTGCTAGGTTGACGGAGCGATAGTCGATTCTTGGTATGATGCGAAATGACTCGACGCGTCTTGGTCCTCCTTTCACTCTCCTCCTCCTCCCCCTCCCTCCTCCTTCAACGTCTTCATTCCTCGGATAATAAAGTACAAAGCTGAGCCTCTCTCCTCCTACTGCTTGAAGAACTGCCGCCACTTGTGAACCTGCAGGAACGTGAGGAGAGGAGGAGAGGAGGGAGACGAACCGTATCGACGAGCTGAGGGAAGAGCGCGCCGACGGATTCGTGAATGACCTCCTGCAGGTACTGGGAGGAAGTGAGAGGGAGAGAAGGGGAAGGCGAAGAGGATTGAAGGCAGAGAAGGAAGGGGGAGACGAGGGAAGGAAAGAGAAAGAGGAGGACCGACGGGAGGAGCAACTGAGAAAGGGAGAGCGAAAGAAAAACGGTCTCTTTCTGACTGAGCAGGCAGTAGGAATCGCTGCGGGGAAGCAGATCAAGCAAGCAGGTTGGCAAAGAGATCGAGCGAAAGAGAGGCGGAGGAGTAGAGAGCAGGAGAGCAACGAGGAGGCAGGAAGTACCGTGACGGCCTCCTGCGGGGTGAGGTGGAGCTGAAACCTCTCCTCGAGCTCCTGCCCGCTGCGGAAGCTCAGGGCATTCTGGTTGGCGTTGAGGTCGCGGGAGAGGTCGAGGAGGTTGAGGAAGGTCCTGGCGTGCTGGCGGAGGATGAGGTACGCCTTGCAGCACACCTTCTGAAACTCCACGTAGCGACGCGACCTCCTCCCTCCCATCGCCATTACCATCTGCTCCGAGAGCTTCATGGGGGGCGCGAAGGGCTTGGGGTCATGCCCCAGGATGTACTCGAAGTCGATGTGGAAGAGCCGCCCGTCGGTGGTCAGCATCAGGTTCTCAAGGTGACGGTCCCCGATGCCCAGCAGGAAGCTGATCACGCAGTACCCGGCGCAGCTGCGCACGAACTTGTCGAGGATCTCCTCGCTGAACTTGGCGCGCTCGGCGGCAGCGTCGGGGCCGGGGGACCCGCTGGCGAGGATGCTGGCGAAGGGATTGTTGCGCCTCTCCGCCCTCTGCTCGGCAGTTACCCGGCGGTTGGTCGGGTCGTGCGCCTGGAAGAAGAGGCGAATGTCTGCAAACTCGTCGAGGATGTGCTGGAGGTCATAAGAGTCCTCAACCCACTCCACCAGCCCCTGCCCCTCCTCGTCAACACCTGATCCTCCTCCTTCTCTCCCCCCCCCCCAC